CATTTTTAATAGGCTTTTATAATGACTATATATGTATATGTATGTATGTATATATATATATATATATATATATAATTCTAATACAGAAATATATTCATCTTTTCAATTATGATTAACACTTTTGATGCTACTTTTCAAATTGTCATTTATATAATCTCAATTTCATCAAGATATTCTCCTAAATTATCCTCTGAAATTTGCAGTTTTACTCGTCATGACTGTCTACTTAGCTCATAATTTTCATGGATGAAGCTGGGCTTCTTTTCTCGAGTACTTAGGAATCCAGCTCGCCCAGCACCACTGCATGGCTAATCTTCCTTTCCTCATTTGTTACAAAGGTGGTGGATCCCTTGTGTCATGCCTGGGATGGCTTGTGGCTTCCCATGGTAGCAGTTCCAGTGATCCACTTGCCTGCCAACTTTACATCAATTTACCTTATCCTAATCAAACATTTTCCTACAAGTAGTTTGCAAATCCTACTTTGTGTTTCTATTTTAAAATTGTCTTACCTAGTTTTCCTTTTGTTCTTCTATCCTTTAAATGCTAGAACAAGCTAGGAACAAACATCTATGCCACCAAAAATAAGTAAATACAAGAATGTGTAGCAAAATACAGTAAGATTGCATTGAATTTGTTGGTATATGGAACAATTTGAGAGAAAATGCCATTATAATAATGATTCTAATTATTAAAGTATATGTTTCCACTTTTACATTTTCCTGAATATGGATCTTATATATCCTTACCAGATGGATTCCTAATAATTAAAAAATATTTCAAGATACTAACACTGGTGCTTGAATTCTCTGTTGTTCATACAGAAAACAATAGTTTACTTTCTTCTTCTTCTTCTTCTTCTTCTTCTTCTTCTTCTTCTTCTTCTTCTTCTTCTTCTTCTTCTTCGGTTTTTTGAGACAGGGTTTCTCTGTGTAGCTTTAGAGCCTGTCCTGGCACTCGCTCTGGAGACCAGGCTGGCCTCGAACTCACTGAGATCCACCTGCCTCTGCCTCCTGAGTGCTGGGACTAAAGGTGTTCGCCACCAACACCCGGCTAGTTTACTTTCTTTAATCAACATATTTCATCAATATGGTTAAAGCTACTTTGTTTATCTATAGATGCATATGAATAGAGTTATATTCACTATTAATAAACATTCAGTTCTCCATTTCAAACCTGATGCCTTTTCCTTATTTTTATCATTGATATACCTAGTCCCTTCAGCTACAGGGCTGAACAGGAGTAGGGATAGCAGGCAATCTTGACTTGCTCCTCATTTGAGCAGGAATGCCTGGATGTTTAGACATTTGTTATGACACTTCCCTAGTTATGTTGTATTGGACTGCAGAAATTCTTTCATGTGGTATGATTGAGCATCCTTTGGGTTAATGCCCAAGAGTGGTAATACTGGGTCATGAGGTAGACTGACTCCCAGTTTTCTGAGAAACCACCATACTGATTTCCAAAGTGGCTGTACAATTTCACACTCCCACAAGCAGTGGAGGAATGTTCCTCTTACTCCACATCCTCTCCAACATAGGCTATCATTAGTGCTTTTGATCTTAGCCATTCTGACAGGAGTAAGTGTAAGGTATCTCAAAGTCATTTTGATTTGCATTCCCCTGATGACTAAGGATGTTGAGCAATTCCTTAAATGTCTTTCAGCCATTTGACATTCTTCTGTTGAGAATTCCCTGTTTACATCTGTACCCCATTTTTTAAATTGGATTATTTGGTATTTTGGTGACTAGCTTCTTGAGTTCTTTGTATATTTTGGAGATCAGCTCTCTATCTGATCTTTTCCCATTCTGTAGGTTGTCTTTTTTTTCTTATTTACCATGTCCTTTGCCTTACAGAAGCTTTTCAGTTTCGTGAGGTTCCATTTATTTCTCTTCTTTTTCTGTCCCGCTAAACAGTTTTCTAATCACAAGTATAAATGAATTTGATAAAGTGAATTTTCTGTACCTGGGACATGGAACAATACTAGGGATCAAGCCCAAGGCCTGCCACACCCACCACAAACACTCCTATCTCTGAGTCACATCCCAGCCCTCTCTCTCTGGGACCTTCTATTCCACTGGGTAGCAAAAGACTTCAACCATTTCTTCCTCAGGTTATGGAACCTATCACCAGTGCCATAAGCAGAAGCTGGATGAGAGGTTACCTTAGCTAAAATTGTTTCAGTTTGCTAATATATTGCTTCATATTTTACATATATGTGTTGATAGATTAGAACGAACTTTGTTTTTCTTTGCTAAGAAAGCTCTGTTTGGTTTTTGGTATCAAAGGCAGATAAGTAGTCTTTTAAAAAATATTTATTTAATTTATATATAAGTGATCTGTCTTCATGCACACAAGAAGAGGGAATCAGATCCCATTACAGAGGGTTGTGAGCCACCATGTGGTTGCTGGGAATTGAGCTCAGGACCTCCAGAAGAGGAGCCAGTGCTCTTAGCCACTGAGCCATTTCTCCATCCCAGATAAGTAGTCTTATAACAAAGAGAAACTAAGTTCCCTCTTTTTCCATTCTCAAGATAGATCGGTAATGAACCCATAAAAGCCTGAAGGTCTAAAAGCAATGGGAGAATCCACAGTTTAGCAACTAATTTTAGTATAGTGGGGCATCAGGCTGGTCCCAGGCTTTCATATCTTGAAGAGTTCATAGAGATATGTACATTTCTAAATGAATGTGTCAGTTTCTACGCCAACTCTAATGGCTTAGTCATCATGAGATGTGCTTGTGCTGTGTCTTTTTTATTGATGTGTTATTTCTGTAAGGTTGCAAGACCAGAAACCATAGTCTACAATATAATATGTAAACCTCTTAGGAAATATCACTCAGGGACACATTATGCATGGGTTTATAAACCTGGGTGATGTCAACTGCCTCTCCTTTGGTTTTTAAATAAAATATCCAAAGATATAGCTCCTCATAAATCCCATGAATGCATATGCTATATTCATATTTATGTATACTAGTATTTGTAGTTAATTTATATATATATGTGTGTGTGTGTGTGTGTGTGTGTGTGTGTGTGTGTATAGTCACATGAATATTTAATCAGGTATACTTCATAAATAAAATCAATCAATCCACTAAATGCTAAACTCTATAAAGTGAAGTGTTATAAGTTCATTTCCCTATGAGAAAACTGATGTTCTTAAATTGGTGTGACATTCTCCTGAATTTTAATAACTAGATATTACAAAAAAGTGTTTCTTTCCCTCCACTTCTTGGGTTCCCGTGAAGAGCTAACTCTCACTAGTGTAAATGTCCTGGCCTCTACAGAATTGCATTATCCCAATAATGGATTTAAAGGGAGGATACGAGCTTGCTTGGCTCCTCCTTATGTAGGGAAGGTGCATGCTCACTTGAGCCCCAGCCCTCATGGAAGGAACGAAACTATCTTAGTAGTGGTAGTAGAAACTTCATGTTGCCCCAACTCTGCTTTGAAGAAGTTAAGTTTGATCTTGTAATACAGTATTAGAAAACTCACTGGGATCATCCACGTCATTTTCCTAGTATAGATTTTTAAATCTCAGGGTTCTGAATTTGAGCAGGAGTGACAGCACTTTTACTGACACATCACAATGCTCAGACCCCAGGCTCATCTAAGCATGTCCCAGAAGTTCAGATCTGAATATTTCAGAACCAGCGATGTCTCTCCTGTCCACAAAGATTGGGCGTAACATCTTCCTCCAGGCTGACCAGGAAACCATCCTCTTTGCCTTGCCCACAAAAACTACCTGATCCATTCATTGAAACTGAGTTGTAAGAGCTACAATTGCAGGAATGATACAAAGAAGCCCTGATAAATTCCCTCCTATGTGGGAATTCTAAGCTTTCCTGATCAGGTACAGTGTGTTACTCCTTAAAGATAGTCTCTTCATGTCAAAACAATGGCTACCATTAACATGAGTTTTGTTTCCCATTAAAAACGCTGCAGTGTAACTTTAATCTCCACATATTTAAAATACAATTAGCTACATCTCTGAAATTGTTATGATTACTCAATTACTATTTGCAAAAGAGTTAAAACACATTAGATATCCTACACAGTACACAACAAGCAAAGTCTATGGCAAATATGTGTGTTGGTCCTATCATAGAAAAACACTCTGATCCACTCTTGTGGTTACAGGTCACTGTGGTAGAAGGTGGGCTCTAGGGCCTCTCTGCTATCATTTTTACTGCATCTATTTCTAGTGATGCCATTTGCTCTTCATTTTTTAACCTACTTCCTGACTCTTTTACTATGGCTTCATTTTCAATCTCATTTTCTTCTACTTTAAGTAACGCTACAACTTTCATGTAATAAAACTAAAGAGACAAAGGCTGGGGAAAAGAGAACTTGCCTATTCTGTGTAAAACCCCGGGTTCAGTTTCCTGTCACTAATCCAAGCATCAACAAATACCCAAAGTTTCAATTCATCTTTAATACTCATAAGAACTGTAGTTGTATTGGAACATTCCAATAGGGGCTCCTTTTTATTCTGTACTTTTGCAACTTAACAGTTGTTTCTTATTATTGTGTTCTCTAGTGTTAGAAAACTACATGTTTTAACTGGACATGCATGAAACTCGATTTTGACATAGAACTTGGTAGAGGCATACTGAATAATAAAGTCAACCCAAATGTACCTTCTAAACCATATTGTTATCAGGGATGAATGCTGAAATGCCTAAAAATAGTTCATTTTATCCCAACGTGCTCTTTCTCAGGTTTTAGAAACAAGAATATATAAATCAAATATGCTTATTTCCAACCACATTACATCTATCACCTTTGGGTTCGTGATTGCTGTTCGGTTTCTTAAAGACACAGACTGTAAAAATAAAAGATGTTTTGTAGATTAGAGAATGGTTGTATTTCCAGTTTTTGAGGATCTCCTAGTTATGTAAGCATAAAAGACTCCTAATTTTACAAAAAGAGTCAATTTCAAACTGTTGCATACCATGTCTCTATACAAAGCTCACTGGGAACTGAGAACGTAAAACTTACCTGGAGTTACCCAAGTCAGGGCCAATGCCTGAGATGGGACCCCTAGTTTCAGTCGTGTACTTGTAAACCACTAACAGGCACTGCTTGCAAAGCTCCACCACGCGCTGGCAACACTGGAGCTGCAGAGGAGTCACCACATCCGGGCTCTTACTGAAGATGCTCTCCCAAGAGGATCTGTTGGCATGGAAACAGACATGGCTTCCTGGTGTTCACTTCTAAGAATGGCAACCAGCTAGATCATTTAGCTAGCAACAAACTGGGAAACAAGGTAGAAGTGGCCTCTCATATATGCAATGAATATGAAAGTTTTATAATAAATACAAATTAGGAAGATAATTATCATTTTTAAAAGTTGAATTATTATAAGATTTCTTTAAGGACATTAGTGCTACCAACCTGGATAGCTGAGAAAATGACTCATTCCCGATTTAATAAATGAAGCTATTCCATATCAAAGCATTTAATTAATTTCTCAAATTTTAGGTATTCTAGGAAATTAGTTTTTTTAATTCTATATTTACCATAATACCAGACACAAAGAAATATGAAGTCGTTGTGATTTAATTTATGACTGCCCTGCTCTAGGAAATTCTGTTTGGCCCTTTGATTATGAACACTGCTTTCAAAATACTCTCCATATTAACCATCCTTTATGCTTCCTCTAGTGCAGGGCATACACCAACAGTGATGTCACCCTAACAGATACCTACCTCCCACAACAGGAGCTGATGTCCTTCCTCTTTCAGGGAACTCACTCCAAAGTAGGAACAGCTCACAAGTCCCTGGAAAGCCTCATTGCTATGAGCATGTTTGTTTATGTTACTGTTATCAAATCCCAAGTTCATTCATGGCTTTCACCAGAAATAGCTTAGCGTGGATGGAGGAAGGGTAACTCTTTTTAAACCTTGAGGGGAAAGTGGCTTCAAATTTTGTAATGGTTCAAGTATTGTTTTACAAAGCCCAATTTTTGTAACCCTCAGGGGGAAAGAACAAGTTTTCAGATTTAAAAAAAAAATACTAAGGAAAATCTTCCCCACCCCCCAAAAAAATTCCAAAAGGAAAATCCAAAGACTCAATTTTCAACCTTCTGTGCTATATTATATATTTTGAATTAAAAAATTATTTACACACTTCAAAGTGTTGAGGTTGTTTTGTTTTGTTTTCCCTGCAAGGACTACTGTTTATTTCCTCAGGAAAAACATGGTCCAAGAAATAGCATGTCATCCGCAAATGACAGATTTTATTTCCTTACAGGGTTAAAGCTTAATCGAGTTAATTGAAAGAAATGGATTTTCTTCTAGATTTGGAATGCTAAGGTCTAAATAGAATGCTTTTTCCCTAACAAAGGCATAAACATTTCTGATCCATAAACAATTAAATTCTGGCTCAATTAACTCAAAATTTACTACTAAACATTTAATAATATATGTGTGTTATCAAGACATATATATATCTTGATATATATAGCTACAGATATAAAATTAACTTACCTAATTGAAGCAAAAAAACAGTAGAGAAGATAATTGCCATTTATATTTGTATTTAATATGCATAATCTAATAGACCTTAAATGTCTGAGCTGAAAGACTGTGTGCAACTGGAAATTCACACAGGAAACTCCCTCTCTGTTGGGACTCTGATATGTTCATGGACTTCTAGCTCCCTCATTACCCTCTACTTTGAACAGTATTATTTAATTTTTTTTAGGCTTTGAAAAATCTGATTAGATCTGTACCAGGTATCTCACATCAAGGTTATTTTTCTTGACTGACCATGGGATTTAAAGGGAAGAGAGGAAGAAATAAGATGGAAGGAAGATAAAGGGATTTCTTATTTTCAATTGGATAACTTTTTTACATAACACGTGAAGTTTGTCTGTAAGGCCATTGATGCTACCAACTATGCATGGCTAGCCAGTTTGCTTACAGAAGAACAGCTTTGACAAGTCCATCATTCTCTTTTCAAAACAAATGTAGAAACCAATGTCCTACACACACTTCCTGTGTATACATTCAATATCACTGGCAAAACACTTGGTTCTACTCTGTTAAGTCATACTCAAGTACCAGCATACCAAAACCCCTCATAAGAGAAGAGAAAATGAGTGAGACCTGAGCCTTTGTAGCCTGAGACTACCAGAGCCTATACACAGGGAAGATATGGTTCTCAGCCTTGTGCACACCTCAGCTAGTGCCTGCCAGCAAGGGTATATATGAAATGCTCCTTTGCTCTCTTTGTGCCAAAGCAACAGCACAAAGGTGTTTTGTTTGTTTTGTTTTGTTTTGAACAAAGGCAAAAGGAGATAGGAAGGGTTAAAAAATAGCAGTGCTTTCAAATCAAAGAACCCAGGGTCTCATTGCCTGCTCTCTGAATCTAAATTCAAAGGGAATAAAAGCACTAACATCAATGAATTCTAAAAGAAAAATTAAACGATTAAATAGTTCTTTTGGGTTTTCCCTAATCCTCAGAGAAATATTAAATGGGATGGCTTTAGATGACATTTTTAGTGACATAATGACAAGGGATAAAATCCTGAATACTTCTCACAACAAAGAGGGGTTAATGAAAACCCAAGGCTTAGAAAATTCTCTTATTATTCAATAATCCAGCTACTTCACCCTTTTCCTCTTGAAAACTTTAATAAATCATTTATCTGAAGAAGGGGAATAATTTATTCCTTTGTACCCTGGAAGAAAATCTAACTGATGGTTAAATGTACAGAGAAAGGAGAAAGAAAGAACCATTTTTGCTTTGCCTATCTAGAAATCTAGACAGTCTGTCAAGCAAGTCAATTTGAACACTAAAGACGTACTATGAACACAGCCAAATGGGAAGGCTGGGAAGGAACAGGGTCATGTCTCTTCACGTTTACATTTTACTCATATGTCTCTCCAAACTGTGGTAACTCAAAGCCTGAAACCAAGCCACTCTGGGAAGCCACTGGCTGCTGCCTGTGTTTGGTCCTCCCCTCACTCAGGATCCTCCACAGTTGCACTGTATCTTTGGAAGCTTTGCCCCAACACCATGCACTCCTTTAACAGCTGGTCTGACAGCTAGGAAGCCGGGGTGAAATCTCATCTTCTCATTTCTCAAGGAATGATTTTAACTATAACAGAGTATAGCTTTCTTGCTCAGTTACAAGGAAAATATTAGACAAATATACTTAAAGTAGCTGTTGGACAGCTCCATTGTATGTATGTCTCTGTCTTTTAACATACCCAACAATGTGCCTTTAGACTGTTTCTAAAAGTTTATTTCTGAACCAAGACCTTAAAAATAAATAATACAGCTTCCATAGGACAAACTTCCACAGAAAACATTTTGGGCTAAAAGGTCTAAACCAGAATCTCTTGCTCAGGGTACAGAGACAACCGGTGAATTCCCTTCCCACATGGCGGTTTGCTTCCCCCATTTCCCCTTCCTCTTCATCCCCATCCCCCCCTCCTCTTCCTCATGGCTTTATGTGCCCATCACCTATTGTCCCTGCTGGCCTCACCTGAAGTGCTACTGCCTATTGCCATCTTTCCTGAGTTAGGACCCACGGGAATCTAGAATTCTCCTGGTCCAGGAAATCCCAGCGGATAATTTTATTTAAGAAAATTTCAAGAACTCCACTCCTCAGAAGACTGGTCACAATCAGAAGGGTGAGATGCTTCGGGCTCTTCCAAGAGGACCTTACTTTGGAGCCCAGACCTACACTGCGAAGCTCACAACCACCAGTAACTCTAGCTTCAGGCGATCCAATGCCCTCTTTGTGGCTTTGTGTTCACCTATGCTCACATGCACACACCCTCAAAAAGACACACATAATTTTGAAGACAAAATATACCTTTTAAAAAACCCCTCCCAGGTGACTACAGGGAACCAAGGGTGCTTGGGCAAGAGCATCCAAGAATAGAAGGACCAGGATATTTGCTGTCTGATACAAAAGTCCTGGCCTGAATTTATTGAAACCAACAAGGAAGGTTTACATTATTTTTCAATGTCTCTGGAGGTGGGCAAGATGGCTTACTTGTTTCATCTTATTCTTGAGTATTAACAGATAAAGACAGGAATGGGGCTGCCCTATTGTTATTTAAATTATTTGCCTAATAATTTCCACATAGTTGAGCAAGAAAGCAACTTTATTTTTATTAAAATCATTCCTTGACAAAGAGAAGACAGGATTTCACCCGGCTTCCTAGCTGTCAGACCAGCTGTTAAAGGAGTGCATAGTGATGGGGCAAAGCTTCCAAAGATACAGTGCAACTGTGTAAGATCCAAACTGAGGACCAGGTATGGCATTGGTGGTAGAGAGGTGAGCATAGCTACCTTCCAAACTGAGGGCCAAACACAAATAACACCATGTGGCTTCATAGAGTCGAGAAAGCCCACAAAGCTCACTTGTATATCTGTCAAACAAAGCCCTGAGCTAAACATCTAAAACCACCAGCAGGAAAGAAATGAGTGAAGCTATATTGAACTCCAAAGTATTTCTCCTCCACCTGCTCAGGCCTAACTGGCTAAGGATTTAGCTAATGCTGGGGACTTGAAGTGAACATATTTGGTAAATGCTGGCAAATGGCAAATGTGTCTGGGAACAGCCAGCAAGGCACTGCATTTAGAGCTCAACTCACACTTCCTGAGTTTAAATGAAGCTCACCCAATTTCTATAGGAACCTAGATAATTCACATGTTCTGTGTATGTTTTAGTTCCTTCGCCTGTCAAAGAAGACAATGGTTTACTGTAGATATTTTTATGGTGAATATATGAACAGCTGTCCTATGCTTGGTAAGTCATCAATAAGCATGACTTAGTACTACTGTCAGTATTTGTAGAGAAAGACACCACCAGAAAAACTTGCTCAGAGTATTATGTTAGTGGCAGGTGAAGAGGAAAATCAACCAAGCCAAAATACATTACCAAAAAGATTGAGGAAATAAAGCCCTGTGGTCAATGAAGTCACCAGATGTGTAACTTTAGATGTTGGCCCTAGCAAATACCTAGCACCAACATAAGTAGCAGACTGTCTCACAGCCTTCCATGGTTGGCAGGAGCTGAAATTCATATGTAGAACCAAGCTAAAGGATCAACAACCAAACCAAACCAAAGAGTTCAGATAGAAACATTCCAGAGAGCCGTCAACTCAGGGACGTGGTTGAGCCAAAGCTATTGTGAGATGGCGTTGCAACCCAGAGTGTTCTTCTGCTGGTGAATGGCAGATGAGAGAAAGCACTCAGAGTGAGAAGCAGTCTGCAAAAGGCACAAATAACTCAGGGTTTCGGGGCAGAATGGGATGTTAAGATTTTACAAGAGAGATACATATACTCTGGGCCTCTACATACATCTCATATCATGCTGAATGGACAGATTTTTAAAAGATATTTGAAAAAATGTGACTTTACGGAGCACACACCAAACAGGAGAGTAATAAGAGAAAAGACCAGAAGTCAGAAAGGGTGTTGCAGACAGCCTGTGTCAGTAGACAAGTTTAGATTCTGATGACAGATGAGGAAGATCACTCTAGTTGAAGCAATGATCTTGATAATAAAATAAAATGAAACACTGAGGTCAAGACTGCCCAGAAATCCCTTTTATTATGTGTGTGTGTGTGTGTGTGTGTGTGTGTGTGTGTGTGTGTGTGTGTGTGTATGTGTGTGTGTGTGTGTGTGAGACTGACCAGAAATCCCTTTTATTACACGTGTGTGTGTGTGTGTCAGAATGCCTAGAAATCGCTTTTATTGTGCATGCATGTACAGTCATGTGTGTGTGTGCGTGTACAGTACATGCATGTGTGTGTGTGCTTCGTGTGTGCAGGTATATGCATATGTCTGTATGATGTGTGTAGGTGTCTATAGCATGTATATTCTGTGTGCATGAACAAGTCCTGCAAGCGTTTCTGCTTGTGTGCACGGGGAGCAGTTTGATGTGTGGGCCCTCCCTTTCTTGATTACTCTCCAGCTGATTTTTGGAAAGAAGGTCTCTCATTGAACCCAAGACTCACTATTGCTTATACAAATCAATTTAATTGATATAACTTATACTTGAGTACTACAATTATAAGCAGTAAAATTCACATTTTAAGAGAATATTATTAAAGATTTCACCATGTCCTTCGTCTGCCTGTGTAACTAATAGTAAAACACTTAAAATTGCAGTAACAGAAAATGAAGTCACTTCAACTCACCCCGAATCACAGAAACAGCTCCACAGTCCTTGACCATGACTCCAGAGCAAACGATTAAACACCCTGTTGAATATCCGGTACAAACTTAGTTCTTCAGCATCCGGGACCCTCCAGATTCTTGGAAGAACTGTACGTATACTTGATTTTACGATGTCCAAAACCTAGTGGAAAAACAAGCACTTAAAATCTACACATGCATACATGAGTCTTCAGTTCAGAGATAGCTTTTATCAGGGAAAGGTGTGTGTCACCTCCTGTAGCTCAAACTGATCAAGAATTTATGACATCACTGAAGCGGGCTTTGAGTTCCCGAGTCTCCTGTTTCAACCTCCCAATGTTCACAGTATGAGCATGTACCACCATGCTGGTTTACATGTAAGAGTTGAATGTGTGTGTGGAGAGAATGGGGGAAGAGAGAGGAGGGGGAGGAGAGAGAAAGAGAGAAGAGGTCGACGAGGGAAACAGGTCAGTGACGCTGTTGAGTGAGAAGAGGGTACCAAAACAAGGGGAGATTGGGAAAGAAATGCCTTATGGGAGATATCGCACAAAGTGAACCTTAGTTCACTAAACAACAGATCCCAACTCTAGAAGGACTGAAAGAAATGCCAAGTGCTAGAAGAAAAGAAACTACTCAAATGCCAATGGGTAAATACCCTGCAGATCCTGTGTGAGAAAAAAAAAAAAAACTAAGTTGCATAATGTCATAGTCATACAAATATAAGGAACTCGAATCCATTAAAGATATTGTAAAGGAAAAGCCAGACACCATGGCACATTGGTGATCTCAGTAGTGGAGAGACGGGGACAGGCAGATCCCTGAAGCTTGATGGCCTACCCTCTGGGTTCAGTGAGAGGATCTGTCTGGCTCAGCAGACAAAGGTGCTTGTCGCTCAGCAATGAAGGTCTACTGACTTATGCTCACTCCCTAGAGGCCCTGTGAAAGTGGAAGCAAAGAACCAGCTCCATAAGGCTCTTCCCTGAGTTCTGTGTGTGCACAACAGCTATGCATCACCCAAACACATCCATAATAAGAGTAAATGAAAAAATAAATAGATAAAAATAAGCTGGAAAGAAATCAAAGAAGAGCTGGGTAGTGTGGCACATGCTTTTAAGCACAGCACTCAGGAAACAGAGACAAGCTGATCTCTGTGAGTTCCAGGTCAGCCCTGTCTACAAAGCTACACAGAGAAACCCTGTCTTAAAAAAGAAAACAACAACAACACATAAAAAGAGATATCAACAAACACAGTTGTTCTAACTTAAGTTTACTGGGGATTAGGTTTTTTTTTTTTTCTTAACATTTTATCAACTTAAGGATGTTGCCCATAAAAATGAAAGCAGAAGCTAAAAATGGGGGAGAGAGGGCTGGAGAGAGGGCTCAGCAGTTAAGAGGGCTTGCTGCTCTTGCAGAAGACCAAGAGTTCTGTTCCCAGCACCCATGGGTGCAAAGGATCTGTCACCCTCTTCTGAACTTTTGAGCACTTGCCTTTTTTTTTGGACACATAGAGACTGGTGGAGACACAGTTGCTCTTTATAGCAATAAACATGAATTGGAAAGAAGACCGTGAATCGTTTGTTTCCCTAGGCACTCGCTAAATATTAAGTGATATTAGCTGTTGATGACCAATTCAATTCCATTTAAAACTCAATTTGGTGAAACCCATTTTCAGACTGATATTGTTCTTTCTGGCAGAATACCAGACCAGCTACAGCTCCTCACAGTGGCTTCTCTTCCCTTCGTCCTGCCTCCATTACTGTGAAGTGGGGGCAGACAGGCACATGCTTCGGAATGCTGAGGTGTGTCACTAAGCACAGAGAACGGGAGACAGATAATGCGGCAACTTATGACAGGCACTACCCTGGATAATGACTCCTTAATTACAAAGAGGATTGAAAATGAACTTTTGTATGAATTATTCACAAAAATACTGATATAATATTCCTATCAGGCATCAATTTAACTTGTGCTGTTTTAAGTTTCATCTAAGCTATCCATTTAATGCTTTGCAATATTTAATGTAGAAAGCAGGACTCATGACTGGTACGGTGTAAGGATGAACAGTAGCAGAAAACATGACAAAAGTTTAAATCATTTCTCAATTTTCCTTTCCACTTCCTGTCACAATGTCTTAGTGAGTAATATAATGGGCCAAAAATCACAATTCATGAATAAAAGAAAAGTAGCCAATTACAGGTTATCATAAATTAATCTCAAGAATAAATATGAGTTATATAAAACAACCACCATTGAACAATGCTATTAATGTAAACATTACCCTAAGCAACTAGTTTTGACATTGTATTATAAGAGACATTTATCTCTCAAATGAAAAGGATGTATTGAAGTTAGGACGTATTTATTCATTCTCTTTTAAATAAACCCCCTGGTGATCGCATGTGATTTACAAGAACCAAATGGAAGGGTAACTAGTGTGGATTAGCTGACTGCCCTCCCTGTGCCAAGCATTGTGCAAAGCTCACTATTGAAGAGGCTCTCCAGGTCACAGTCTACATGTGTTTTATTCTTAGTCTCGGGGAAAATTGAAGAGCATGGTAGTCTAGTATCCTCACCTACATATGCCTGTAAGCTACGGACATAGAGCTGGGGAAAGCATCCAGTTCTACTAGCATTCCCTGGGGGGGAATCTTCAGTCATCACAAGTGCTGCACAAACCCCATGGCCAGGAGAGCTTCCCCTGTCTGGGGGAGTTAGGTGCCATCTGGTGAATGTACATAGATGCCTGCTCTTTTCTGCAGACATCACTGGGAACTCTGATTACCCTTTGAGTCTCCTTGCTTTCCAGTTTCAAGAAGCCGCCTCTGATGGCAAGCTCTGGCCTTAGGAGAGAGGATGGGTTAGAAACATCCATTTCAATAGTTGAAAGGAAAAGAACCCAAATGCTTCCTCTTCAGAATTTGGAAACCTCAAATAAGCTCTTGGCTAACAAGAGCAGTGTCTGCATGTTCACCTGGAGAATTCCTTGTCTTAAGACAGCGTCACTTGCTAGGGACAACATACTTGTCACTAACCCACTGCAGGGTCCCTCAGTGACCAGATTGTCCTCTACCAGTCACCTGAGTCTAACTTCCCATGTAATTAACAATGGAGAACTGATGCCCTGCCCGGTCACACATGTACCCTGTCCTCAAAGGCTTAGGACAAGGTCTACCACTTACCAACTGCTCATAAAGTAAAACCTATGCAGATGAAGTAAAAACAAGAGCTTAGATTTATTATAGGCATGTCTGCATATATTAAGCCATTAAATCTCAAAACAAAAACATAATAAAAGCACTGCTGGTCCATGACCCCTTTCCAAAATCCCTGAGGCTGGATGGAGTCCACAATCACATACATTAATATTTCTATAGGAAAAGATGAAAACATTGAAAACAAGATATAGAGAGAAATAACGCTATTTCCTTTCAGATCACAGTCAGCAAGTGAGTTCAAGCAAGTTAGGCTTAGCCATCCAATGATTAGGCAAGTTTCAAGTTGCTAAAACATTTTGGATCTTTTAAGTGACAAATCAGGTCCAGAACAGAAAGCAACTTCTCTAAGATTACAAACGGCTCCACTCTCAGCCTCTGCCAACACTGCCACACAGTTTTGTCTTCTCAAAGGCCAACAACAGAAGCCTGGGAGACAAACCCTGGCTGTCTCCAACAAGTGATGTTTGGGAAGATAGGTGGAGTCACTGTACAGACGAGGGCGCTAGATGCCTCCTTCTTGTCCTTTGTGCATTGGATTTGGACTGGATTATTTAAAGGCTCCGTGGACAAGACAAAGATGGCAGTATCTTTAGCAAACTACCCAGAGGAAGGCAGAGGGCATGTAGGCCAGTAACCAGACCCAGACCAGGGCAAGGAAAACTTACTGCTTATTCTGTTAGTCATACACTTTTTGAAATCCTGGTATGATCTTATTAGACAACATTATATAGAAGTTTAAGAGGGTTTTTGTTTGTTTGTTTGTTTGTTTGTTGAGAAGTTGGACCTCCTCTATGCCACACTGACCTTAAACTTTAACAACAACTGGGACAACAGTGAATTTAGGATTCTCCTGCCTCCACAGCCCGAGTGCTGGGATTACAGAGACATGACACCATGTCCAGCTGGGATTGAACCCAGAGCTTTGAGCACACTAGGCACTCCTCTACCCACGGTGTTACACCCCAGCCCAGATGCTGAATGACTTGTAAAGTATAACAAGAGAGGGGCAGACAGCATCCTTGTGTTCACCTGTGGGCCCAAGCAAAGCTAACCTCCTGAACGTGAGTACCATTTCTTTATGCATTGACGTTCAGTGTCCCAATCCAACCTTGAGCTCTCTCATGGGAAAACTAAATGGAAGACTCCATGAATGCCAGTGTTAATAACATGAAAAGACTTGTCTCTGTGTGAAGTACAACACATCTGAAGGCATAAAACACACCGACAAACACATATCCTGCAAGTACAGATGCTGAATGGCAAACTGCCTCACGTGGCTGAGCAGTTGGTCCTAAATTAAAATAATGGCAAGAGGTGAGGATGGCTTCAAAGCCACATTAAAGTCACTGTGTGCCACACTAATGATGCGTGCCACAGTCGCTGTGGTTGTAGGGTAAAGGCATATTTGCTGACACAAAACGAACCACTAGGAACAGCATCCCTGTCAGCCCCAAGGAAACAGAGATAGAAAACAGCAGCTCCAACATACAGGCAGCAGCAGCAGCAGCAGCTAAGGTGGGCATGGAAGAGAATTTGCTATCAAGAAAGGCTGATAAACAAGGACCCATTAAGAAAAGCTAAAACAAATGCAAACAGACTATGACAGCACAGCGGATTTCTCTGCACCCCCAATCTTTGTTTGTGCCTAGATATGGTGATGGTGAACGTGCTTTCCGGCTAACTGGGCATTCTTCACAGCCCACCAACACAGAAGCATGCTCAGACCTCACGTACTCCTCATGGGATGGCTGAAGCACAGCTCTTAGCAGAAAGCTAGACTACACAGCTGCAGGCTTGCCACAACCTGATGGTAAGTGAGACTGACTATCCTCACCTCCACCCACAGAGGACTCTCCTCAGTATTTAATTCCTGAGCTCCAGGAATTAAACTTATATTGAGGAAAATGAGAAGGAAGGCAAATAATTTTGTTTCCAAGGAAACACACAC